ACTTTACACTTCTAGTAAAATTCCAACAGATCATATAAAAACATACCTTAACACTATTCAGTATGAAAACAAATTATCCGATGATGAAGCGAGTAAATGCGAAGGCTATTTAAATTTGAATGAAATAAAAACTGCTGTTAATGGACTTAAGCCAAATAAATCACCAGGAATTGATGGCATTCCTGCAGAATTCTATCAAGAATTTTTCTATTGTGTAGGCTCACATCTTACAGAGTGTCTAAATGAATGTTCTGATAAAAAACTATTATCTCATTCACAAAAAAATAGTTGTCTATCTTTAGTTTATAAAAAAGGGGACCCATTATTATTAGAAAACTATCGACCAATCTCATTATTATGTGTTGATGTAAAAATTGCAACTCGTGCTCTTGCCAATAGATTGCAAACTGTAATTCATAAGATAGTAAGCTTAGACCAACAAGGTTATATTAAAAACAGATTTATCGGATATAACATACGTTTAATACAAGACATAATAGATTATTCAGAAAAACTTCAAATAGATGGTTCGATAATGTTTCTAGATTTTCGTAAGGCCTTTGATACTCTAGAATGGAATTTTTTAATTAATGTACTTAAACAATTTGGTTTTAAATCGAACTTTATAAACTGGGTCGAAACATTTTATAATGATATTAAATCATGTATTTTTAACAATGGACATAAATCAGAGATATTTAACTTAAATCGAGGTATTAAACAGGGATGTCCATAAACTGCTCTTTTATTTATATTAGCTGCTGAAATTATGGCCATTGAAATAAGAAACTCAAACAGTATAGAAGGGATAAAAATCGAAAATAATAATAAAAAAATTAAAATAGCACAGCTTGCTGATGACACTACTCTTTTTCTGAAATCTGAACAAGACATTCTGAATGCAATAAATCTGGTAGAGCGCTTTGGCAAATACTCGGGGTTACAACTCAATAGCAAAAAAACTGAAGCAATGTGGATAGGAAGAAGTAAATCACGAACTGATAAAGTAGGAAATATAACATGGCCGAATAAACCAATTAAAGCACTAGGAGTCTATTTTGGCATACAATACGAAGAGTGTTCTAAACTCAATTGGCAGTCAAAACTAACTGAATGTCAAAGTCTAATAAAAAACTGGTTAAAACGTAAGTTAACGATGTATGGAAAAGTTCAAATTATAAAATCGTTATTGATACCAAAATTTACTTATTTGTTTCATTCTTTAGTTGTGCCAGAACTAGTTTTGGGAACTTGACTGTAGTGTCCCCCAGGGAAGCTGTTTGGGCCCTTGGCTCTACTTGACGTACGCAGGAACTATCTTTGACATTGTACCTCCCTCCATTTCCGTGCACGGATTTGCCGACGACCACGTTGCGAATAAACGTTTTAAACCATCACCTACCGCAGAAGCAAGTGCAATTCGGGACCTCCAGGACTGTGCAGTGCATATAAATGAGTGGATGAACAGCAACAAGTTAAAAATGAACAATTCAAAGACAGAGTTTATTCTTTTCGGAAGTCGTCCACAGCTGAATAAGTGTAACACCAAAGAAATCAATATATGTGGTAATGTTATTGAATCACAACATTGTATATACGGTATCTTGGTGCTTTTTTGGATGAGTCTCTAAATTTCAAAGATCACATTAAAAGAAAGTGTAGAACTGCTATGTTAAACTATTTCAAGATCAAGAGCATTCGAAAGTATCTGACAAAGGAAGCCGCTGAAACACTTGTTTTATCTTTAGTAATATCCCATTTAGATTATTGCAACATCATTCTGTACGGCATATCTCAAAATGAATTAGCCAAACTTCAACGTATTCAAAATATGTGTGCCAAACTGGTGTTAGGTCGTTCCAAGTATGATAGTTCTAAACAGGCATTATTCGATCTGCACTGGCTTCCGATTAAAGCACGAATCAGTTTCAAGATACTGACATACATGTATAACTGTTCGGTAGGAAACGCACCATCATATTTAATAGAGCTTTTGTCTCATCAAGTGTCAAAACGAACCTTAAGATCATCTGAATCCTCAGTTGGTTGTTATGTTGTTCCTTTTAATAAGAAGAGGACTTTTTCTGACAGAGCTTTTAGCACGATAGGACCAAAATTGTGGAATGAACTACCTATTAATATGAGAAAATGTGAATCTGTTGAAATTTTCAAAAGACAACTGAAATCATTTTACTTCAAGGACTTTTTTGCACTTTTTTAAGTGACGCTGAAGGCATTGTCTGTTCCTAATTGTTTTGTGCATGTTTGTATATTTCTAGTGTTTTTATTATTTTCATTGTATAATAATATAATAAAGTCTAGCCCATGTGTTATCATGTGCAGGGGTGCAGGGGTGTAGATTGTTACATGTTGGTGGGGATTGACCCAATCACTGTGACCGTCGCACTGCTGGGAGTATTGTGTATGGTAGCACTGGGAGTAGCACATATAAGGTATATAGCTGTACAACGCCATTGAATATGTATTTTATATGTAGAAATAGGCGTTAAATCAAGTTTTCAAGTTTCAAGTTTCAAGTTTCCAGAAAGTATCGTGAAAGAAATCAATACAATGATATTCAAATTTTTATGGGACAATAAACAAGAAAAAGTAAAACGTGCAACTTTAATAGGCAATAAATTACAAGGAGGAATAGATATGCTAGACTTAGACTCATATATAACTTCTTTAAAACTTAAATGGGTAAAAGCTTTAACTGATGAATCAGAAGCAAACTGGAAATTAATTCCGAAACGCCTACTGAAAGATTTTGGTGACAATCTTTTAATATTTTATTGTAATACAGACACTATTAAAAGTCTCAATTGTAGTAATGTGACTGAATTTTATCAAGAACTTATTTAAATATGGATAAAAACTCGCGATTTACATAAGGAAAATCAAAATTTGACATTTGAACAAATAAGAAAACAAATAATCTGGGGCAATAGATTTATTAAAATTAAAAACCAATGTTTGTTTTTTAAAACATGGATTAAATCGAATATATATTTTTTAAATGGTTTACTTAATGATCAGGGTGAAGTAGATCAAAATGTTATCTTAAATAAGCTAGTAGATAAACGCAACTGCGTCGTTGAATTAAACTTGCTCTTTAAAGCTATACCTCTAGCCTGGAAACAAACTATGAAAACGTTTCACTCTTCGCAAACAAAAATAAAAACAGAAAAACGTCTTAAGATAAATAACAAACCTTTTGAATTGATGGATTCAAAAACAATATATCAAATATTAGTAAACAAAGTATTCATTAAACCCGCTACACATTCGTATTGGTCAAATAAATATGAGACAAAACTAAACTGGAATGATATATATAAATTCATTACAAGACTTCCTGATAATCGGTATAAACAATTCAAATTTAGAGTAATAAACATGATCTTTACAAGCAAAGAAACGCGCTATAAATGGAAAATGGTCTCATCTCCACTCTGTAATAAATGTAATAAAATAATTATCAACATCTTTTTATCGATTGTATGGCAGTAAATGTATTTTGGGAGAAAATTTTATATATATTTCAAGAGTGCGGAATTCAAAGAAATATACGTAGACTAGACATCCTTATTTTCGGTTATAAAATATCTCAAGAAGAATACTTTTACATAAATGTTATACTCACCATTGTAGGTTTTAGTATTTTTAAAGCTTACTTTTGTAGTAATAATTGGTCAAATGAATTTAACATTTTAAAACTGTTTAAAACAGAATTTGAAATACTTTATCAATACTTTAAATACAAGAAGACAAAAGTTAATTTTTTTGACAAAATACTACAAATTTTAAAAGATATATACTAACCTCTAGATAGTATGTTTATGTACGTTGTAACTCTAATACATATGAATATCTCAAATTGAATTTGTTAAATTATGTCATTGTATATATGTATAATTATGTATAATATCTGTGAATAAAAAAAAAAACAAAAACAAAAACGGTCTATTCATAATCGATGTAATTTTATCACCTTTCTAGCGACTGTGTTTCTATTCAATTTTGATACTATACAGTACACACGTATTGAGATTTTGTGCTCGATTGTGTGCACATTATACATGTAATACACCCCTGATGAAGGCATAATACGCCGAAAGTACTTGGGTATTTATACTTTAGCACTGTATGAACGTTTATTTCCTATAAATTTATATATATATATATATATATATATATATATATATATGGATTTATATTCAATCAACACATTGAAAAACACATTTTCCTTTACTAATTAGTTTCATGCGCAAAACGCAATCTTCAGAAGTGTAAATGGTAGTTCTCAATAAAGGGACGTAACTATGAAGTGTAAATGGTGGTTTCTCAATAAAGGGGCGTAACTATATTAATACTGTTCATTTTTTAAAGTTGCTTAATAGATATTTCCTGGAATGTCTGCAGGTTGTTACAAGTTCGTTTCTTTTGTTAAGTTTAGCGTTTTCTTGTTTGCAGATAATGTAGAATTTCTCCACGTCTATACTAGTTACGTCCCTTTATTGAGAACTACCATTTACACTTCTGAAGATTGCGTTTTGCGCATGAAACTAATTAGTAAAGGAAAATGTGTTTTTCAATGTGTTGATTGAATATAAATCCATACATACAGCTCTGGTATACCATCGAGCACTCTGTCTAGGGTTTGTACTGACTTTTAGTGTTATTGGATTTATATATATATATATATATATATTAAATGTCACTAAACATGAACACCTCAGGGCAGTAAATATAGAGTTGCTTGGGAACAAATGTTTATTATTAAGTGAGCTTTCTCTTAACAATGTATTTATCTAAATTTAAAATGTGTATATTAAATCTAGACATAACATTGTAACAAGGTGTATTTTTCGGGTAATCTGTGTTTTGAGATGTTCCCCAGCTTTCCTGTGTTTTTATCCATATTGTTTATGTAAGAGTGCTTTCCCCTTGACTTTGGCGGGAATTTGTACGTATCACGTGAATCTCGTTTTCATTTCGTTCAGTGCGTTGGTTGGTAGCCATTGAGAGAGGAAGGTCTCTCTGTTCAGAAGTTATGATGTTTATTACACTTTAACATGTTTCTTTTTGGTTGGAAACAGTTCATCTTTGTATAAGGTAACTATTGCAGTGGCTGAAGTAATTTATTAAAGAATTATTCTTTGTAATTTTGGCTAAGTAATGTACATGTTTCATTTCGAAGATAAATCCAAGACGGCTACTACTTTCAACTTTTAATCCTAATTATTCTATCTTTTACTTAGCTCAACTAATTTGCATGTATATAATAATTAATGCAGTGTTCTTCATTGTGGATGATGGCGTATATCTTATTTGTGTAAAAGGGCCAAAGATCCTACAGATCTGTAAGTTGATATTTTATTGTCTATGAGAGAAATGTTTTATATATATTAGGTACTTTGATGAATTATTGAATTCTAATAAATTTTGCATTATTACAACTAAATATAAGCACAGGGACCATTGTGTCATTGAGAAATGGACTGCTATAATGAAGAACTATGAACTTAGCTATGAACTATGTTATTGATATAATTGGAGATGTATAAATAGCTGTGGATTTGAACCACGAGTTAGTTTGGGTATTTTACCTACTCCAGGTAAAATGTATATTTATTATGAATGATATAAAAGAGAGATAACTCTTTATATGACTTATACGAATCTCCATCATTTGGTAAGGATTGTTACTATTTACTATTTCAGTGCCTACCTTGTTCACATGCTTATATGATTACGTAGACTGATGGTTGGTTTACAAGATGTACCGGTATACTTTGTGAATATGTCAGATGAACTGTTGTAAATAATGTAAACATTTGGTTTGTCAATAAACTACATATGATCGAACCTGAATTCAGTCCGCTTTACAGACAGAATCTAACAAAGACTACCAAATTAGTTGTGTTAATATGTCGGTTATCATGGAACCTTCAATGTGACACGTAAGTGTCATTCCATGAAAAGCAGTATATGGTCCCAAAATAAAAAAACATGTCTGTGCCCTAAACGAGAAAAACATTGGGCGCAACTAAATAAAATGGAATTTTAAATGGATTGGGGTTATGAACCCTGCATATTACAGATAATACATCAACAGACAAAAACAGACCACATATCCTAATGCTGATTTAACAGTTTTCAAGTGAGGAATACTGGAACAACCCAACAAGAAGAAAGCAAAAGAAAAAAAGAACTAAATTACCACAAGCACAACAATAATGTCGTACTGAACAATCTTTAAGGATCGGTCTTATTTTCTTTATTCTACATAGGCGATGATATTCTCTCAAACGGAACTTTTTTCACCCGGTTGATTTTTCATAGTGTTGAAAACAAAAGGGTTCTGATCAGAATTAGGAATTATTGCTATAGAGTAGGACGGTATTTTTGTATCAAAGCAACCACTGGATGTTAGTACATAATATCGCACAGCATGATATTTAACTATCAATATCAATATCAATGCAATCAACATGACATTATTTCGGTATTTAACAAAGATGATCACACTCATTGTTCATGCCTAATTCATAATTTTCTATTATGAAAATGTTGCCAGCATAAGTACAATATGAGTAACCTGTTTGCATATGGAATTATTCATAAGTTAATGGTATTTAATCGAAAATTATTTCAATAATTATATGTTTTTTTTCTGTTTTTCAGCCAAACTTGAATATTACATTAATGTCAGTCATTTCATAACACCATCTGAGTCTAATTCACGAGCTTCCGGCTGTATACCGAACTCGTTCCTCCTTATATCAAATATACACGTCGGTGTTCATAATGAATTTAATATCTATTGCGGCAATTCAAATACTATATACTTTTTATAGACCACCAGGTATGACACTGTGTAGACAATGCCGAATATTTTCAATAATGTTTTCCTTAGTTAATTTGTATTTTCTATTCTTTGGAACTACTATTAAGTTACCAAGATAATAAATATTAATATGAATTATTGATATTGTATCATGATTAATGTGTCTTGAAACAATCAATAATTAATACTTTTTGTGTACTTTTTCTTTAAATCTTCTTTTCTTTAGGGGATAATGTCTGTATGGAAATTTATGTTCAATTTTCTAGTGACTCATCTCAAAGGCGGGGCATGCTCGATTTTGTATGTATCTATAAAGTCAAACACATCAGATGAATAATATTACATTAGTGTGTATTTCCTGTGAAAATATAATCCAATGTTCGTATTTGACATCCAGAATTAAGATCATGTAGCATTCGTTACAGCAAATAATCACAATAATAAGACCGTCAAGGTCAAGTTCATTCAAAAACATTTACATATGTCACCATGGCCGAAGATGCATAAAAACGAAGTTCGGACAATTTGATAACTTTTTTGATATTTTAATAGAGATGTCAGTCAGAATAATTTAATATGCGTGTTCTTTTGTCCAAGTTTAATTTAAATCTGTAAATAAATAGCAATTATTTAATTAATCTAGGCAGTCAAAGGTTAAGTAATTTTACAGACATATTTTGTAATATTCGCTGAAGTATAAATCCAAATTGTAAACAAAAATAGCAAACATATATAATAGTTCAAGCTTATTGTATTGTTTGAACCACTTGTAAAATGTCATACATAAGTCAATGTCATATTTGAATTGCTTATCATGTCCTCTTTTCAGAAGTGAACATTTCTCAACGGATATATAAAGTCAAGAAATAATTCATAAAGTTGTGATCAATTAAAGCAAAATTCACAAATTTGACCTTCAGTTTCAAGGTAAGGTCAACGTTAAATGCAATACCTTATATGTACGTGTGACAGGTCGGAAATTTAGTGACATGGTATGGTATTGGTTTTTTACCGTATAGTACGGTATCTAAAGTTTAGCGCAGTTTCATTCGGAGCGCTTTTGTCATTCTCTATCAGTTGTTGGCGGAGGTAGATGCGTGAAGCTTTTGTCACCTTTTGCTTCTTTAAATTCATGGTTATATTTTGTTGGAAGAAGGTTTCAGTATTCATGCAGTTACAAACACCAGAATGGGGAGTGTGTGATGTATGTTTAAGTGGAAATACCAAGGATCCCATTGATCCTGGTGATATGTATATACTCCTGTATACACATGCATACTTTCTATGAGAGCGATGATTGATTAAATTGGAGAATTGTAAATATGAACTGTATGAGTGATTTGAATGTAAGAGTTATCCTGTAAGGAATAAAAGACTATCTGAACTCTGATGGAATTTATTGTCTTTATAATGAAAATATTATTAAGAACCAGGGTTACTTACGTAAAGGCTTGTTTTTAGGATTGTTGTTTCTAAGTATGTAGACAACACAATTCACCAATTACAAAGCAAAACAACAACTTATTATAGCTAAAAAGTTTGAAAATAAATATTCCAACATAACTGCCTCCGCAATAAGTTTGCAAATCCGGAATGTTCGCAATTTAACTACCCTTTTTAATATAGTACAAATACAAAAGCTTAAATCAAAAGGTCCTTTGGAAAGAAATAGACGATTATTGACCTTTTTTATAAAGATAGCACAATAATTCAACGCTGAGCTGACATTCAAAAGGTGCTCTTCCATTGGGTTGTGCGTGTCTCATTGGGGCTCTTGTGGGGCTAAAACCCGTATACATAATATGCGAGAAGTTTTTTTTGTTTGTATGTTTTTGGGTTTTACGTCACATCGACACAGTATAGGTCATATCGCGACGTTCCAGCTTTACTGGTGGAGGAAGACCTCATATGCCCTTCCGTGCATTTTTTCAGGCACGAACGGCCACCTGAGTTGAACCACCGACGTTCCGGTGGATAGCTTCCTCACATGAAAGAATCCAAAGTCCCGGTCGGGATTCGAACCCACAGCGGTGAGGGGCAAGTCGTTTGAAGTCAACGATCTTAACCACTTGGTCACGGACGCCCCATATACGACAAGTAATCCGTGGGAGGAAAAATATATTTGTTTTAAATATTTATACATGTAGTGTTTATTTCATAGTTAAATAAATACCGACCAAAAGAAAAAAAGGTATACAATCCTGCCCGAATATAATTGTGTGAGATATTTGATCGGATGACCAAACAAATAAATACATTTTAATTCAAGAATTCCTGTCAAAAATAGTTGTTAAGTTGTGCAAAGAAAAACATATTACGATCAAATAACTATATAAAAGTTACAGTATGAGACATGTTTGTCGGTCAATCGAAAGAAAAATGCTTATAAATCAGCACACTCCATTATATCAAAAAAACACGTTGCATCCATTGAAAATATAAAACAGTGATTTTTTTATTATTTTCACAAAAAATATGAACACGATTTTTTATCTTATTTTTTTGTTTTGTTCGGTTTATATCTCCATTGGATGTGTGTTTTTTTTTCGATAAACCGATACAATTGTCTTATACAGAAATTGTCAAATTAATTCTTTACCGTTATTTATTTTGTTCGACAACAAAACAAATATCTTACGCAGGATTTCTTCAACAACATTTATTATTGTTTTTTTATTGGATGTATCATTAAAAAATGTTTTGTATATCAATGTTATTTCAATCGACCGATACAATTGTGTTATACAGGAACTCTTATACATGATCTTTTATCGTATTTGTCATGAAACAGATTTTTATTGTAATTTTTTGTTCATTCAACTAAACAAATATCTAACACAGGAATTCTTGAACAGAATTTCTATGATTTTTTGTTCAGTTTTAATAATTAAATGTCTATTTTTGTATTTATTTTATGTTACATGTTTTTATGATCTAATGAAATATACTGTTGGGGAGCAGTTTTGGTTTCGATCGACATAAAAGTATCAGCTATACAGGATCTTAAAACAGACATGTCAATTTTCATATTTTCATTGTTTGTATTATGTCTTTTTGATTGATCTGATGAAATATGCTTTTGTAATGCAAAATTTCTTCGTTTGACAAAAATATACAGGGTTTTTTTATCATATATTTTTTTGTTCGAGCAGGTGAAGAAATATTTTGCACAGGAGTTATATTGAAAAAGATTTTCACCGTATTTGTTTTTAGTTCAGTCAACCAAACAAATATCTTACACAATCATTCTTGAAAATAATTATTATGATTCTCTTTTATTTATTCTTTTTTTTTGTGTCAAAAGAATAAAATGTTCCTTGTTTACTTTTCCAATATGTTACATATAAGAATTCTAACAGGATTTCTTATATTTTCTTCTTATTTAGCTGACAAACCATTGTTTTAGCTTGATATATGATTTGGGTACAAACACATATTTGTCCTAGTCAAGATTGAATGTAACATGATGTTTTTGTCTCATGATATGTGATTTTGTATAGACGTTTTGTTAGATTGACCGGAGAAAACGTATTATATAGGAGTTCGTATACAATATTTTAAATTTTTTATTGTTGTTTTTTTTTTTTTTTTTTTTTTTTTTTTTTTTTCCAAACAATCTACATTAACATAATTTCCATAGTCACGCATATTAAAAAATGTGCAACAATTGGTGCTTTTCTGTGAGTGTAACGTGTTGGTCTAGTTACATTAAACCAGAACCTATCACAGAAACGCTGAAATAAATAAACAAATAAATAAAAATAATTAATTAATTCACTTATTGATGAATTAATTAATAAATAAAAATAAGGTGTAAATAAATAAATAAAATTATCGGACTTTATTCATTTAAAAAAAGTCCGGAACCGAAAATTAAATTATAGAAAAACTATAGAAAAGTTTTGAAGTTTAACATTCCGATTGGATTTTTTAAACGAAACGAATTATCTCATTATGATAATCTCCCATTACGCTCTTCTGGGTATTTCCTGTCACTCTTATTTTTGCATATTTCTTC